CCCGCCCCGGCCTCGCTTGGCCCCGGGCCCCCATCTGCAGGGGCAAAAGCCGGTTTTCCTGTCAGGCGGCGGGGGGCCTGCGGGGCGGCGTGCCGGGAGGCAGCGCCGGGAGGCAGCGCCTGGGCAGCCTGTCGGTGCTGGCGGCAGCGCCTGCCGCTCGCTGTGCCCGCTTCGGGTTTCTGAAGCGGCCGTGGCGGGTGCTGCCGTCGTGCGTCGGACCGTTTAGAATTTCGTTAAATTGTCTTACAGATAAAAACCTAGAGAACGCGGAGGAAGCAGCAGAGCAATTCAAGTTAATCCAGGCAGCGTATGACGTTCTCAGTGACCCCCAGGAAAGAGCCTGGTGAGCAGTGTTGTCTGTTAGCGGCCTGGAAAAGACTTTAAAATTCTGCCTCAGCCAGGACTTCGAATTGCTTCCCGCTGGGCCTGGCAGCGAGTCAGCACGGGCCTCGGTGGCAGGAGCAGGCACTGTGGTTCGGGCTTTGAAAGGGGTCGAGGGCTGAGCGTTGTGCAGCCTCCTGGGGAGGCACCACCGCACACCCACCCGCACCTTCCTCCAGGTGTTTCAGAGGCGGTGTTGAGCGGGGCACGGCGGGGTGCTGGGGGACACACCAGCGTTGGCCTTTGTTTCTTCCTCCCAGAGCAGGAGGCAGCGTGTGCATTAACACTGGTGTCCCTCTGGTCACAGCCCTCCCTGCCTCGTGGGGTTGAGCCAGCACCAGGTCCAGGTGTGTAGTGTGCTGTTGATTGCTGCAGGTGGTACATCTTAATGATTACATAGTGTCGTGTTTCTGTAACAGCCCTAACTTGAAATATGTACACTTCTAATGTTCTGGGTAGCTTATTTTTCAAGGGGGCTGAAGCATCTACCAGACTGTGCAGCCAAAAACACCTGTACTGTTTGTTCCTCTTGAAAGGAAAGTACCATTTTCGGGTTTTAGATGCTAATTTATGATTTGGGGGGTTTTCTATGTGAGTACTGGATGATATAAATCATATCCTACCCATTCCTGAAAGCTTATTGACATGTCTTTGCTAGCTGCCCATTAAGAAATTGCTGCTATAGATATCACAGATAACAGCAAGTAAACTAAAGATCAAGAGAGAGTATTTACAGAGAGTATTTACTGAGCCTGTCTTTTTTTTTTTTTTCTCCTCTGAAGACTTTGGATATGAGACACTAATTCCAGACACTGGGCTAAGCTATACATTGAGATGATAAGTGTACTGTGTTAGCATGCTGGCACTGGGGAATGTTCTGTGTCTCTGCATCTCTGATACCATGAATTTTTGCTAGGTATGATAATCACAGGGAGGCTCTGCTGAAAGGAGGAGTTGATGGAGACTACCAAGATGATAGTTTAGATCTGCTGTGCTACTTCACTGTTAGCTGTTACTCTGGATATGGAGATGATGAAAAGGTAATGAATTAATTCATCTCTAATGAATGAATTTAAATTTAATGAAAAGTGTTGGCATTTGCTTTGTGTTGAAAAGCTATGTGTGGAATTGTTGAACACAGGTAGTAATAATGCTTACTCAAATCTTTCTAAGACAAAACTTATGCTGGATGCTTAGGGAAGCTTTAATTTGTCCAACAATTATTTGTCATGATTTCCAACTATAACACACAATGACAAAGTGAGTGTACATTATTTGTGTTACACAGTGAAGCATTCCAGTGCTTTGCAATACTATCTGTTTATTCAGAAACATCTTTTACAAGCTAGAATGCTTCAAACAACAAAAAAAAAGACATTATAACAACAGTCCTTGAGGAAAGTGTGCTTCCTATAGTTGAATTCCTTGTTGGATTTTAAGATACTCATCAACTTTTTAAAAGCTCCAGGTGATTATAAAACCTCTGCCACACAAAATCCATATCTGCCTTTGTGTTACTATCCTAGGAGTGAGTCAGTATCATCTTAAATTAAAAAAAGAGATACTTAATAGTGAATTTTATATTTGGAACTTCCTCAAAACTTGATCCTCTGTAACCAGAAGCTTATCAACATCTCTGGCACGCTGAAACTTTTTTTGGTTTAGCTTTGAATATGGGTGGTTGATGTGTGAGAGACAGAGACTACATGAAGCAGGTGGAAATAAAAGGAATGCAAGAGAATGGGAAATTTGTTAAAGAGAGGATCTTACAAGGCCTTTACACTAGTTTTGAGTTGCTGTTGCAGAATTGTAGTATTTCTCTAAAATACACTACTGTATCTGAGCATTTGTACATCTGTTATTGAGCCATGCAAAATGAGTAAGACTTTTTTTAATTTCAGGGATTCTTTACAGTCTATCGACAAGTTTTTGAAAAGATTGCACGAGAAGAGATGGAATATATGACCCAGGAAGATACTGAATTATTCCCTACATTTGGATATTCCCAAAGTGACTATGATACGGTAAGACCAAGTTTAATTCTGAACTGAAAGTAACACAGTAGTCATTACTTTGTCTCACACTGAAATCAAAGGAAAGGCTCCTGCTGTTCTTTGAGGTGAATATAAAACCATGTATCTGCTGTCTTTTATACATATTGTAGACCATTACTATAAAGGAAGTGCTTGTGTTCTGATTCATAATATTTAAGTGAATTAAAATTGGTATTTCCTGTTGGACTGTATTATTAGCAAGGCTTTAACTGTACATTGTCAGATAAACACTTCACAGAGCAAGTCATCAATTATGCCAGTGAGCCTTAAGTGTAGTGCAAGGCCTATAAAACAAAAGAACTGATGTTTTCTCTGCTTACTGATGAGAATAGCTGACCAGTGGTTTAATGCAACTTACATTAGACAGGGATATTTAGATTATCTTTTTTAAATAACATGTAGTGTCTTGCCTCATTTAAGAAAGCCATATAACACTTACTGCATGACACAGCCTTTAGAAAATGGGAGGTGTGGTGGTTGACCTGCAGTGTGAGCTCCCACTATGATACAGTTACCCTGTAGTAAGATTTCATTTCCAAAATACTGGATGCTTTTCACTGGGAAGTAAAGGAAATGTCTGTGGTACACTTGAATTCTTGTCATCTGGTTTGCCAACTATTTGTGTATTCTGTCAGACTTACGATTTGTTTTTAAAGTTAGCAGTATTCCTGTGTTGAAATTAAATAGTACTCTAATAACACTTTCCCCAGTGAATAACTGCACAGTATCAGTGTACTCAAATGTTGCTCCTAGTCTGCGGCTTCTCCCTGTAACTTTTAGTAGAATTGTACTGTATGACTATTTCTGAAATTTAATTGATACATACCTTAAATAAGTAACTTCGATGGTACAAAACTTGTCTAGAGTTGGAACCAAAGTTACAGATCAAACTAAGAAGTGTCAGAATGGATTTTGGAATGTCAGGTAAAATTACAGATGGTTTAACAAGTGGATATCTTTCCCAGAGAGAGAGTATTTAGTGTCTCTGAAACTGCTAAAAGTCTTTTAATGGAGTTACCCTGAAACATCTTTTGGAAGCTGCTTGTTTTGAGGCCATGGGATAGATATGATTACAGACCCCACATAGCTTTTATGCTGTCAATTAATAACTGCAAAAATGGCTGAAATTCTGGCACAAGCATGCTTTAACATACTTTTTCTGCAAGCAGAATGCTCACTTTTTTTTTTAAAGAGAGATTCTTAGGGGTCTTCTATGGGAAATAGCCTCAGTTATTATAAATGGGAAAGTCATTATCCCTGTTATCTTATATTCGTACAAAGAGATTACACTGTCAGATGATTCCAGCATTGTAGTGCTGACTTCTTGACTCAGTGAGAGTATCATGGCAAAAGAGTGTTAGAAGGGAGCTATAAAAAAAACCCTCTACAGAGGTTTCAGAATCTGTGATGTGAATGCTCTCTGATTCAGTCAACTGAGTTGATTTACAAGAAGCTTGGGAGGCCACTCAGTCAACACTAGACAGCCAGGGAAGAATTTTTTTAAGTCTGTGACTTAACAAGACTTGTAGGTCAGTTTAGATGCAGAAACAAAAGCGATAAGCTCCAAACGTAAGTAGTAGGCAAAATCCACCTGGGAGTTCAGCAAGAGCTGCTGTACAGTCTTCTGGAGCATGTCAGAGGTGTGCTTGTATTTCAGGTAGCTGCTGAGGAGGAAAGTCTTAGCTCTTACAGTTGGTGAAGGGTTGGACGATCCTTGTCACCAGTTCATGGCTGTGCATACTTTTGCACAGAAGATATCCCTTTCTGACGCAGAAATGTGAGACAGGGAAGCTAACCTCACTTAAATTATTGGATTAAATATGGATGTTTATTGGTTATTACAGAGCTGGGTTTTTGTGATAGCAGAGAGGAACCTTAGTAACCTACCTGTCAGAGGCCACATCCATGAAGCTTTGCATGTAGATAGGCCATTAGACATTAGTGTAGAGGTGTTGATAGTTGTAGTCCATGTGAATACCAGTGACAGAAGGAAGAGGAGATACTAGTATAAGAGATATTTAAACTGTTAGGTTAAATATTTCTATGAGGTATTTCAAAATATAAGCAGTAGTGCATGTAGGAGTAAGTAGTAAAAAGACAGCTTAATGGAGGAGTGTGGTTTAAGCCCTGCCGGGACCGGAGAGCACGTTGCTTTTCCCCTCCCCACCCGCAGCTGGTTGGGCTGGCAGTGAGGCACAAACCCCAGGCTAAAATAAGAAGAAATTTAATACAACAGTGTAATAAACAATCTGAACAACAACAATGGCAGTGATAACAATAAACAGCAATAACAGTGAACAAGACAAAAGATATACAGAGAAATACCACTAATGGTCACAAACAGCTTCCAGCCACCAAGCCCACCAAAGAGAAAGTAAAAAAAAAAAGTTTCTACCTGGACCTGACATCAGCATGGTATGAATAACCTGGCTGGAGATCCCTTCCCCCTCTCTCTCTGCTGGGGAAACTTAACCCTATCCTAGCTGAACCAAGACAGGGAAGTAATGTAAGAAGGGAGTTCAGACATATCTTGTTTCCTGAATATCTAGAATGCAGAAGATCAATAATTACTTGGTGAGCAATAGAGAACATGTATACCAACGCACACAGCATGGGTAACAAACAGGAGGAGCTTGAAGCCATGATGCAGGAAAATTATAATGTCATGGCTATCACAGAAACATGGTGGGATGACTCCTGTGACTTGAATGCACCAGCTGATGGCTATAAGATCTTTAGGAGGGATAGACAAGGAAGGAGAGGTGGTGGGGTGGTGCTCTAAGGGACTGTTATGACTGCTTTGAGTACAGGTGTAGTGAAGACAGGGTGGAGTGACTTTGTGTTAGAATCGGAGGGAAGGCCAACAGGGCAGATGTTACAGTGGGAGTCTGCTATGGGCCACCCACCCAGGACAGAGAGGTGGATGAAATATTCTATAGGCACTTAGGAGAAATCTCATGATCACTTGCCGTTGTTCTTGTGGGAGACTTTAACTTACCAGACATCTGCTGGAAATACAACACAGAGTGGACTAGTCTCGGAGATTCCTGGAATGTATAGGGGAGAACTTCCTAACACAGCTGGTGAATGAACCAACCAGAGAAGGTTCCCTGCTGGTTCTCTACTTTGAATGAAGAAGGACTGGAGGATGATGTGGTGGTTGGAGGCCGACTTGGGCACAGCAATCTTGAAATAATAGTTCTCTATTCTTAGAGAGGCCCGGAGAGGGGGCCACAGAACTGCCATCCCAGACTTCCAAAGGGCTGACTTTGTCTTATTTAGTCACCTGCTTGACAGAATCCCTTGGGAGATGGTCTTGAAGGGTATAGTGGTCCAGGAAGGCTGGGCACTGTTTAAGAAGAAAGTCTTAATGGCACAGGAGCAGGCAGTCCCCAGGTACTGTAAGAGAAGCTGATGACAGAGAAGATCGCTTTGGCTGCAACTCAGGGAGGAAAGGAGAGTTTACAGCCTTTGGAAGAAGGGGCTAGCCACACACAGTGATTACAAAGAGGCTGTGAGGGTATGCAGGCTGGAAATCAGGAGGTCTGAAGTCCACTAGAAATTAATCTGGCTTTAGCTGTCAAGGATTGACAAGGAATGTTTCTATAAGTATGTGAGCAGCAAAAGAAAGACCAGGGAGAGTCTCCATCCCCTGCTACATGCAGGAGGAAACATGGTAACAAGTGATGAGGAGAAGGCTGAGGTGCTTAATGCCTTCTTTGCCTTAGTCTTTAATAACAAGACTAGTTGTACTGAGGGAATCCAGCCTCCTCAGCCAGAAGTCAGACTGGGAGAACGACCCCCCTGCAATCCAGGAGGAGACAGTCAGTGACCTACTGCATCACACAGACACACACAAGTCCATGGGACTGGATGGGACACACCCGAGGGTGCTGAAGGAGCTGGCTGGGTGCTCGCCAGACCACTTTCCATCCTTTACCAGCAGTCCTGGCTGACTGGGGAGGTCCCAACAGATTGGAAATTGGCCAATGTGACGGCCATCTATAAGAATTGAGTCAGAAGGATGATCTGGGAAGTTACAGGTCTGTCAGCTTGACTTTGGTGCCCAGGAAACCGATGGAGCAGCTCATCCTGAGTACCATCACACAACACGTGCAGGACAACCAGATGCTCAGGCCCAGTCAGCATGGGTTTATGAAAAGCAGGTCCTGCTTGCAAACCTGATCTCCTTCTACATCAAGGTGACCTGCTTGTTGGATGAGGGAAAGGCTGTGGATGTTGTCTACCTTGACTTCAGTAAGGCCTTTGACACCGTTTCCCACAGCATTCTCCTGGAGAAACTGGCTGCTCGCAGCTTGGATGGGCACAGGCTTTGCTGGGTAAAAAAACTGTCTGGATGCCGGGCCCAAAGGGTTGTGGTGAACGGAGTTAAATCCAGCTGGTGGCCGGTCATGAGTGGTGTCCCCCAGGGCTGGGTTTTGGGGCCACTCCTGTTTAACATCTTTATTGATGATCTAGACGAGGGGATGGAGTGCACCCTCAGTCAGTTTGCAGATGACACCCAGTTGGGTGGGAGTGTTGATCTGCTCAAGGGTAGGGAGGCTCTGCAGAGAGACCTGGACAGGCTGGAGCCATGGGCTGAGCCCAACTGGAGGAGTTTCACTGGGGGTGTTTAGTCTGGAGAAGAGGAGTCTGAGGGGAGACCTCATCGCCCTCTACAGCTACCTGAAAGGAGGTTTCAGAGAGCTGGGGATGAGTCTCTTTAATGAAGTAACAAGCGACAGGATAAGAGGGAATGGACTCAAGTTGCATCAGGAAAGGTTTAGACTGGATATTAGGAAGCATTTCTTTCCAGAAGGGGTTGTTGGGTGTTGGAATGGGCTGCCCAGGGCAGTGGTGGAGTCCCCATCCCTGGAGGGGTTTAAGAGTTGGGTTGACATAGCGCTGAGGGATCTGGTGTAGTTGGGAACTGTCAGGGTGAGGTCAGTTGTTGGACCAGATAATCTCCAAGGTCTTTTCCAACCTAGGTGATTCTGTGCTTCTGAACAATCCAAAAAAATAATTGTGCCATTTTATTAATCCAGCATTTACTTATGAATAGTAAAAGGAAGGAGAATAAGGAAAGGTCATTTACTGTTTCTTTTAATGTGGGAGCTAGAGGCCTAATTTTAACCTGCAGTCATATAATTTGTTAACAAAACAGGAGTAAGTGCATCTTCACATATCCCCTTGTTAAACTGTGCAGGTTGTGTCTCTGTGCTATTGTATATGTCAGCAATTTACATGGCTTAATGAAAGAAAAATCCATCAAGGGCTATTATTAATTTCTGTCTTACTCTTGAGTCAGAGAGAATATACAGGGAAGAAACAGCACTATGTACATGTGCTTGTTTTATTGCTGCTTATGTGCCGGTCATTGGCTGCTGTTGGAAATGTATGGCTGATCTTTGGTATAAATTATTACGGTGGTCCTTATGCAATATGTGCATATGCCTGCTTGTGGGCAGCATGTCTGATTCTGATTGTGCTTTTCAGTTTAACAGGAAGAGTACAGCACAGCTAAGTAACTAGTGTCAATACAATCTCCTACAAGGGGATATTTTTTAGAAATTGCAGTTTGGAATGGTTTAGACCAGGTTGTTGATTTGGCATGGCTTGAAATCTTAAGAATGATATTAGAGGTTTCCCTAAACTTTCATGCGTTGTATTTATTCCCTGAGGGAAAACTGTGGCCTGTATAGAAGACACAAAACTGCTACAGAAGTCCTGAATTACTTGGTGTGGCTTTTGTTGTGTGTTGTGTCCCACCTGCCCCTGGCCAAACAAGTGACTTGTTTAACATTTCTGTTTTTTTTTTCTTACAGGTAGTCCACCCTTTCTATGCATATTGGCAGAGTTTCTGTACTCAGAAAAACTTTGCTTGGAAAGAAGAATATGACACACGACAAGCCTCGAACCGCTGGGAGAAACGAGCTATGGAAAAAGAGAACAAGAAAACAAGAGAGAAAGCAAAGAAAGAGAGGAATGAACTGGTCCGTCAGCTAGTAGCCTTTATTCGTAAAAGGGATAAAAGAGTACAGGCTCACAGAAAACTTGTAGAAGAACAAAATGCGGAAAAAACTAAGAAAGCAGAGGAATTTCGAAGGCAGCAGAAGCTCAAACAAGCTAAGTATGTAACTGTGGAACAAGTATTTTCTTTTAAATTCTGAGAAACTATCCATGAGGATACCATATAGAGTTAGACTCTAATATTAGCTCCACTTGATTTTTTTAAACATGTGAAAATTTTATGTATTAGTTTTGATCTCAAGTCTGAGCATTTTAAAACTTGAGGGACTGCATTGTACTGATGTGTAGAGAGCTAAAATAACCTGGAAGTAGTCATCTGTTTGCTGCAGGTAACTCGCTGTAGTAGCACAGAATCCAGTGTGCTTTTACTTACCTGGGGAAATAAGATTTGTCAGTGGTCCTTTAAAGCAAAAACAATGTATGTTTTTGAATGAGGGAGAGCAGGACTATGACAACCTGGACTTAGATCAGCTTCCTCTGCCTTGAAACTGTACCTGATAAAAAGAAAGTGGGAAAAATGCAGCTAGTTTTGCTTTTCCTTTTAACCTTTCAGAAATGACCTTTCCATTTGAATAAATGCATTTTTCTGATGGTTTTATTTTTCCCAAAATTAGGAGGTGATCTCCTGAGTGTAAGACAGTTTATCCTTCCAACTAGAAGAGATTTTTGCCTGCAAATGGGAGGAAGGAGCTTAAATTCTTAAGAGTACACTTGAAAAATAATTGCATATTGATTAAAATTATATAATAATAATAATTATTATTATATTTTTCCCCCAAAAGGGTGAATGAAGCAGAGTTATGCATTTACTGACAAATGGCTTGATAATTCTTAGTCCATGAGCCAGCTGGCACAATTCAGCTGTACTGTGGTGCACTGATTGGTAACTTGGGCCACACTTAAATTTGAAAACTGAGCTGGTACATTCCCATAGTGCAGAGTCAAGGAGTAATGTGCTTGTGGCTTTTGTGGTCTTGTGCTGTTTGTGGGTTCGGATCTTGCAGCAGGTAAAATCAGCTGTACTGTGCTGAGGATTGAGCTGACTTTCCTGATGTCAGCTTGATATTGACCATGCTGCACAGCATTTCCTGCCTGAAATTCAAGCAGGACCCACCTATGTTAATACCTCTTTACTTGCAGCATAGATGTGTCCATTGACATCATAAACTAGCTGCTCAGATGTCCAGGCCCTATAGATAGTTGTTTGCTCCATCATAATATGTTCAGGAATTTCCTCTTAAAATACCAGAGAACAACATGTTACTGTTTAAATAACACTGCTGCTGTAATTCCCATCTCATGGACCCAATGTAGAAGTTACTATGTTATTCTACTTAAAGGCTTGCTGAGCAGTATAAAGAGCAGAGCTGGATAACTATGTCAGATCTGGAGAGAGGGTTGCAAGAAATGGAGGCACAATATGAAAAGGAATTTGGAGATGGATCAGATGATGAAGACGAATTAGAAGAACAGGAGACAAAAGGCATCAAAGGTATGGGTGTGGGGAGATGATCTATACTGAGTTGTTCCAAAAATCACTCATCTGACTTTGATCCCCACTGATCTCTTCAGACAAACTGCATGATGAGACTGAAGAAGATGAATTTCTTGATGGTCTGTACTGCCCTGCTTGTGACAAATTGTTAAAATCTAAGAAAATGTAAGTGCTTGTGGTTGGGAGTTTGAGGGTGGGGGTGTTGCATTTTTAATTTTTTAAAAATGCATTTTAAACAATTTTTAACTTCTCATAATGGTCAGTGTTGTCTTTCAAGTAGAGACATTGTCTGGGCAGAATTTTCTGTACTTATTTGAGATCGATAAAGGGCCTGTTTATTAATTTATATGTAAATATAACAGTGTTTGCTCAGAGCTACCTGCAGTAACCATCTGCTGGTCTTCACAGGATGAAGAATCATGAAAAATCAAAGAAGCATCGAGAAATGGTAGCACTGTTACGACAGCAACTGGAAGAAGAAGAAGAGAAATTTCCCATGTCTTTGGATGATGCAAGTGGAATACATACTGAAGAGGAGGAAGAACCGACTGAAGAAGATATGCCTAAGCAGAAGTATTTTAAATTGGTTTTAATTTTGTGACTAATAAGTCTTGGAAGCCCTCAGAGGGAGCTTCTGATGATTTATAGTTGTGCTGGAACTCACAATATTGTGCAATTTAAAATATTTCTTATCATCAGAGTTCCAGTTAAATACATGCATTAGTATGATTTGGATTCAAATGTTGTAGGATAATAGTATCGTATTTCATCTGTTTCTTAAAGTTACAGGTTAAGGAAAAGTAGTGATGTTTTTCAAACGGGAACTTGCAGAAGGCCAAGGTTTATTGTTTTTGTACTTTTTGTTAGCTGGATGCTGGCCTATGTAGAAAATGACTGTGTTTAAAATCAGAATTGATGAAGTAAGGTGCACAACTTCATTTTCTTGAATGGCCAAAGTGTAATACCAACTATCTCACCGGTAACTTCAAGTTCAGTCTGAGTAGAATAAATGTTTTACTAAATGCAATGAGTAGTTTAGGAGAATTGTTACCATTTCAGGCATGAGTAATTTTCTATTTGGCTACCGTCTCCCTAATATGTTAAGAAGATAAACAAAAATACAGCTTGGTATCTTTTTAGAAATTGTACTCATTTGGTTTTTGTTTTTTCTTGAAAAGAGGTAATTTTAAATTTGTGTCTTTACAGACTTTCAAAGAAGCAGAGGAAGAAACAGAAAACAATGATGGTATGTAGTCATATAATGATATTCAGGGAACTTTACAATCCAGTTTTGTTATCTCCTAGTGTGCTGGTTTTGCCTGGGACAGAGTTCACTTTCCTCCTAGTAGCTGGTACAGTGCTGTGTTTTGGATTTTGTATGTGCCACGTCCTGCTCGAATGAGGGAGACAAGTGGCTTAGATGTGTAAATCCCCAATGGAGAGGACAACAGTGAGACAACTCTCAAAGTCCAGAAATTAATTTCCCACAATTGGATACATGATAATCGACTAAATTTGACTAAATTAAAAAATTATAAATTATGGTATGCAGTAGATTATGCCTTAGTTAAGGAGAAAGAGGAAAAAAGAACAGAGATACTGAGAGGTAGAAATAGAGATCACCAGCTTGAGTTCCTGCATTGATCTTGCTGTCAAGGGTTCAAGGATGCATCTGTCATCTTTTCACTTCTTTCTTTCTTCCTTTATTTCACTCCTTGCCTCCCTTCAACTTATAAACATTTTCCTTGGGTCCATCCCCTAGGTCAATCCACATACCTACTTATCCCTGTATGGGGAGGGGTAAGGTGCTTCATGGGATGATGTGATTAGCATGATCTTGTTAGTCTTCGTTAGCATACATAACTATCTGCATATGCAATTATCTGCAAAATGAATATTCAACTTCAGTATGCATTTTGCAGATAATGAAGCAAGGTCATTCATTGGACAGAAGTCCTTGAAGCTTTACAAGATGCACCAGAGCAGAACACTCCTGTCTCCTCAAGGCTCCCTCCTCCAGCCCACCCTGTGCTATCCAGGCAGCCTTATCAGCTCCAAACTTCACAGTATCCACCCCGTGACTGTAGTTTTGTTACTTGTGAGACATTCCTAGGCTCAGAGGGCCTCTGCTCCCACACCACCATCCCTTATCACTTTCTCTGTCCTTGTTTCTCACAGGCCTGTTTCTCTCAGGCCCTGTTTCTGGGAGTTAAAAGTAGCCTCTCGCAGTGTGAGAACAATGTTGATAACACACTGATGTTTTAGTTGTTGCTAAGTAGCACTTATCCTAAGTTAAGGGTTTTTCAGTCTCCCATGCTCTGCCAGTGAGCAGGTGTACAAAAAAGCTGGGAGGGAGCATGGCCAGGACAGCTGACCTGAACTAGCCAAAGGGATATTCTGTATGACAGGGCATTGTGCTCAATACATAAACTGGGGGGGGTGGGGGTGGCTGGGGGCTGATGGCTGCACAGGCTTTGGTCAGTGGGTAGTGAGAAACTGCATTGTGCGTCAGTTGTTTTTTCTTGGGTTTTATTTCTCTGTTTTTGCTATATTCATTTCCATGACAAGAATAATAATCATCAGTATAAATTTATTTTGGTCATTAGACTGTTCTTACCTCAGTCCATGGGTTTTACTTTTCTCAATTTTCCTCCATTCCACGGAGGGGGCAGGAGTGAATGAGCAGCTGCATGGTGCTTAGTTGCCAGCCGGGGTTACACCATGACACCTTACTTAATTTTTCTTTTTTCCTGAAAAATGAGAGAACTTGAAATTCTACAGAACTTGAAGACTGTTTTCAGATATTTTTGATTCTTCTTTGACTGCAAAATAATTATTACACTTATATTTTAAGATGATAATCTCAGACCTCACTTTCTTCTGTTTGTGCAAATTGTAATAAATGTGATGCTGGCTCTTAAAAGGCTACAGTCAGAAGTGTAAGGAAAACAGATGGAAACAGGCAGATAGGGAAAATGCAAGGAATTGATCAGAAAGGCCAGCAATGGCCTTAGGGCATTAGCAGCTAAATTGTTTGGTAGTTAATGTGTTGTTTGTTAATCTCTAATATAAGGGGTAGAAAAAAACCACATTATTGACATCCTACTGACACTGTAGTTGGAAGGAACACATCCATTCCACCTTTCACTTGAACTTTAACTTGAATTGTTACTTGAGTAATACCAATCTGGTACTCCAGGATCTGAGTTGCCATGATTTGACAGATCTGTGCAGACAGCAACAGGGTGAAATTCAAGAACTGCAAACTGTTTCAGGCTTGAGTGGCAGGAGTGCTATAATGAGCAAACTCTTCTGTCTTCCTTCCTTAATCTTGATCTTTTTGAAGTCTTGCCTCTTCTTTACTTACTAGCTCAATCCTAGCTGTGTTCTTGGTACAGATCCTGCCTCTTCCATCCTTTCCCAAAATGGTCTTCTGTCTTCCCACAATGTAACCCCTCTAGTCTCCTATTGTGTGTTTTCCTTCTGCCATTTCCCACACCATCTCTCAATGTCAAGAAACTTCCCTGAGACTTCAAAGCAACTGCATTTTTCTTGTTTCTCTGGCAGGTGTTGCGTAGTCCAAGTCAGTATTGACTTGACCTTCTTGTTTCCATGCAGGACATCAGGCTCCTGTTCAACTCTTGCCTCCTCAGTTTGAAATCTGGTGGTCCTGTTCTTGCTGGATAGGTTGCACATAGGCACTGTGTCCATCTTCCATCCGTTTGGTCACAAGGCTGTCACAATCCAGACAGTAGGTGCCACTCTTGTGTAGCATGAGCTGGTATCTTGTGCTGAGAGATTCTTCTTATGAGTTCAGGGAATTGCTATGGTTTTTGTTTTCTTTTCCCAAAGGTAGGCAGATTAGCTACATTTTTTTATTTTTTTTTTAGGTAGCTGTGACTCTGCAAAAGATACTAGAGGTGATAGAATTGCATTAATGTAGTGTTAGGTCAAATTTGTGATCCTGCTTTTGGGAGCTGAGCTGTTTTGCTTCAGACAAGCTTGGGGTTGATCATTTGCCAAACTTATGTGAGAAAAACTTCCAGTGTTTCTAATGTTAGGGAAGGAAAATACAGTGTGTCTATCTAGCTTCAGTCAGCTCATTTTGGCTTAATTGTCCTAAAGCAGGTGTCTGGCACAGAAAAACTTAGTTTAAATAATTAACACTTTGCAATGTTATAAGCAAAGACTATCATATAATGTGAAGTGGTAGCCAGAACAGAATGAGCCTTGTGTATAATTAAAAGCTACCTTCATTCTCCTCTTCTGTAATTTTAGAGGCTGTTTTATTGGTGTTTCTTCCCTTCATCACAGGTGGTCTCATCTTTCAAAACAGGAGAACTAAGGTTTTACCTGTTACAATCTCACTGAAAACACACAGTAAAATTAAGAGGGTCCATGGCTTTCTGTTCTCCCCACCCATGTTTGAGGTAAATGAGTATAATACTATAAACATAATCACTAATGACTATAAAGTAGTTAACTTGCATTTCTTCTGTTTGGACAGACTTATGAGAACGCTCTTGATAAAAGTACTGATGAAGAAACAGTTGAACAAAAGGAGGTGCCTGGCGTGGAAAAGGACAGTGGCTCAGCAGAGGAGTTGGTAAATGATGGCCAAAGATGTGCTGTGTCAGAGGATACAAGCACTGCAGAGGATGTCAGCCAAGTGAATGAAGCGAAGAGTGAAGCAAAAAGGTGCATTGACTTGCAGTATTGCAGTCACTGTGTCATTCTATGTCATGTTTGATACTGTTAAAAGTGTAGATTTACTCACTACTTTTAACTGGGCACTACTCCACTAAATCAGAGTTTGATAAATAGGATACTGAAAAGGTCCATTAGGATGTACTTTGGAAATGGCATTTGACTGCAAATCCCTGCCACATCACTTACCTGATTCAGCTGATTCATCATCTAGCTGAATCTCAAGATCAACAATGGGTTGTATAAGTTAAATTGCTTTAATTTTTTTCTGGAAGCACCTGTATTGTGTTGTGTGAAGGAAGAACAGGAGAAAGCAGCAGACATTGATGACTGGAAACTATCAGAAAGTCTTAAATGTTGAATGTTCCTGTGCACTGATCTTGGTTTCTCTTTGTCTATCAGCAGTACTAAGCCTAAAGGGAAAAAAGCCAAGGATGCAAAAAAGTCTGCTCAGGCATCTTCAGAGCACCCAACAACGGTATGTCAAATTACTTAACGCTATTTAAAAGCTGGTGGTCATGTTACTACAAACAAGGGTGGTTATTTGATCACCTCCACAACAATCCACAAATTCTGTTACAGGTTTTTGCTTATTTAATGATAAACGTATTTCTCTCCCTGTGATTTTATTAGAAGCTAGGAGACTAGAACATCAGATCTTGTTCTTGCAGAGAAGAGCAGGGCTAAATTTCAGTTCTCAGAGTTGCTAAAGCTCTGTATCCAAGGCAGTTCAAACCAGATAAATTAAAGAACTGAAGATACAGCTGTTGTCATCAGGCAGGTGACAGGCTATTTGCATCTTTTCCAATATTGATGCTTCCCAGAAAGAACAAAATTTTGTAGTAACTACAGCTAAGACATACTAAATTCACTAAATCTCAAAGCCTAAAGTGTTGTGTGTATAGTCAGGTGAGGTCAAAAATAATCTTTATCTTGAATTAGACTTGCAAGGTTTCTATTCTTGTTCTTCATTCTACTTAGTACTCTTTGAAATTCCAAGAAGTTACACTTGTGGTTCTTTTTTCAAAAAATGTGTATTTAATTGTTAATCAGTAATGGAATATCTGTGATAGAAACAGACACCTTAGTCACATTCCATTGTCTTAAGAAAAACTGCATAGAACAAATTGGTATATTACATTTATTAGATATTCCATACGAATGTGAAGCATTTTGGTTTTTTTCTCATTGTAGAATGAAGTTCCCATCCATTGTGTAACCTGCAACTGTGCATTTCCATCCCGAAATAAACTGTTTGAACACCTAAAAGCCACAGGACATGCAAAAGCAACACAAGCACCAGCTACAAGTAAAGCTGTAAACGCCAGAAACAAAAAAGAGAAACGTAAAAACAGATGAACTTTGTTACGGTGATTGTCTTCAGAATCGTACATGAAAACTTTCCCAAAACTGAAAGATGCACATTGCCTATTTGGGGCGAAAGAGAGAAGACACTTCCTGATTTTTGGAGGGAAAAAAAAGGAAGATGCAACAAAAGGAGTATTGTTTGGTGAAGGAACCTGTGCTTTCTTCTCATCAGCCTTTCTTTAATGACTGGATGTGAGCTATCATCTCAGTAGCTTTTACCTTGGGGGTGGGGAAATAGTAATTCAAAGCTACTCACCTTGCACTCCTGTAGAAACTTGCACAAATAAAGAACCCATGCAGAGGAAATAATAATTTAACACTTCTGTTGCTGCTTTTCTTTTGAGAGGGTGACTGTAGACAATGGAAGGGCCATTGAAAGGCTTCATTGATAAAGAAGAAACATCACCAGGATGTAGAAGAACACAGGCTTTAATTCTGCAGTCCCCAAGGGCTCTTTCAAATTACTAAATTAGTCCTTCCCTTCCATCTGCTATTTAATGTAAGATGACAAAGGTGGTTAATCAGTTTTGACAATTCCTATTGGTTTTGTGTATGTACTTGCATGCCAGATGTTGCGGGGGGGAAAAAAAGTAGTGGAAGAGCCTTGCTAGAATAAGTGAAGGGAGAAATAAATGAGTGACATGAATAAACTTGTTCTGATTTCTAATGAAAAACAGCATGGGAATTGGTATTGCACCTGTGTTTAAATGCATAATCTACCTGATCTGAGTAGCACTTTAAAAAAAAAAAAAACCAAAACCCAACCACCACAAAAACCAACCAAACCAAAATGGTGGGGTTGGAGTGGATTTTACACAGGAATTGTCAATGCAGTTGGAGAAGGCAGTGCTCAGCTGTACTATGTTGCTTAGGAAACCCCTAGTGTAAAATTTTCCAGAAGCACTGATCTTGTATTAGCTAAGTTCCTCTAAAGTTTCAATTTTGTCACCTGAAATGGCAGAATACTCTTCTTCCCCTACAATTTAACATTTGGACTGAACATGTTAAAGTAAAAATGTATGTTAACTTGTTAGTGGGTCAAAGAATTACTCATACATTAAAATCTGAATGAAAGTAAAATGATGTACAGTTCTTTTTGACTGTCCACAACACCTTTTTTGGGTTTTTGTTGGAAAATGAAGGAAGTAATGAACTAAAACATTTTTAAAAGTGATTATGTAAGAAAAAAAGCACAGCATATTCTCTCACCAGCCAGAGTCTGCATTGTTGCTAAATGACTAATGGGTGGGCTGTGCAATCCCCAACGCAGCAGGAGAAAAAGAAAAGCATGTTTTGGAGAGGATGATGACTGGATGAGAGCCCCATGATAAAAATAATTACTGTAATTAGGAACTTTTCAAATTTGTGCAAACTTTTTTTTTTCTCATGCTCTTATTACACTGTATCCTCATAAGGGTAAACAGTTTTCACTATGAAACCTCCAGTTATGGTCTGTTCAGAGTACTTCTCAGCCAGAGGTTGGCTATGCTTATGTAAGTGAAGTCTCACAGGCTCAACCCTGCAGTACTACTTTTTAATTTGATTTTTTTTTAATTTAAATAAAGACAAATACTTTATCATTTGTGTGTTTTACAAGTGCTTGTATGTTTTGGGTGTAAAGGGTGAAGTTTTGGTGGCAGAGGTGGGGGCAGCAGCAGTGGCGACTGCTGTGGAAGGTAGTCAGGGACTACACTGCACTGGTCCCAGCCAGCTCTGCAACACTGCACACCAGTGCTCAGCCACTGGGGAGCCGCTGGCGCTTTGGAAAGATGATTAAATAACTGGCAGCAAGCGCAGTGGCACAGAGGAACGCGGCCTGGGCAGCAACGTGGCTCCACTGCAGTGCTGGTACCACGCCCAAGGCACTGTGGATGCTACAGAGTCCAAACAAGGTGCTTCCCCAATGCAACTGGACTAACTTTCCTCCTTCTGAAAAATAATGACTTTCATAGATGCAAGATGAATATACATCTGCCTCTTCATCTGATACCCAGTTAATCCAATCAGGGTTTTTTAAGCTAATATTAGAATAGGTGTGTACCTAACACACACCACCACTGTAGAACTGAAATGTATGTTTACAAAACAGATAGGAGCATATTCTTTATTATAAACAATTTTACAATACTGAACAAGTATTTAATCTTCAGACTATGATTTTCTTAATCCAGGGTAGATTTAGTGCCAGGTTTGGGTGGCGAGTGACGAGGGGTTCTATGTGCATCTCATGTCAGGAAGCAATACCCATCTATTTTGCAGCTGCTCTCTCCATGTGTTTCTGTAAAGCGGTATTAAGTACTTCCACAGTGAAGTCAACATCCTTTTTATTAATGCACATAGGAGGTTTAATTCTAAATGTCTGAGAAGAGAGAAAAAAAATTTAAATTGTATGGAAAAAGTAGTTTCTAGCAGCCCATCTAGGTCATCACTCACCTTCTAATGCAAAGAAATCTAACCAAAAATGTGAAAAATAGTATCACTGGAGAACAGAGCATGGACTGAGGCTTCTGATCAATGCACACTGAAGTGGGGCAATTTTGGACTTGGCTGCATCCAACTCCCCACTGTACTCCTGTGACAAAGCAACTGCCTCCCAAAGGGACGTTGACTAGAGCAGGTCCTGTCTGCAGCTCTGTTACTCCAGACAGCTAGTATAAAACCTCAGATGGGCTTGTATTAAGAACAGACACATAGGTGTAATTTCCTTTCTGGTAGCTTTGACACAGGGAAAGAGTAGTATTTGTTGAGAGTGGCAGCATCCTGCATTGTGTCAGCTGGTTTGCTGTTACATTACAGGGTTTTTTTTAAGGTTTCCAAGATAATTATTATGAAATATATTTATTTCACAATAATTATCTTGGAAACCTTAAAAAAGGTGAAATAGCAAATTTCACCTAAATTTTTCACCTAAAAAAGATTAAATAATCACTAAATACTAACCTTCAGTTAGTTACTATAGCTAAAATACATGTTGATCAGGAATGGATATATGCACAGTTTAACTTGTCAAGAATGCAGATTCTCAATCCAAACATCTGATCTATATTATAATGTTTCCAAGAGTATTTAACTTCCATAAGAGTCTTAAACTTTCAATTTAAATTTTTCTGTCATCATATCACAGGACTTAATGCAGCAGGAGTGGAATTATGTTCTTTGCCACCCACAGCACCACTGAAGCTAACACAGATAAACAGCAGTCTTGTGACACAGAACCAGATTTTACTACACTGAGCTGCAGCCTGTTACCCATGTTCTGGTCTGTGACTTGCAGAAGAACCGATGAGGTGACAGATGCAGCTCGCTATTTATTTTAGCCATCCTGCATGTATTTCATACAGACGCTGCTTCCTCTGCGTCAGAGGGCTTCACTGACCAGCCCAGCCCTGAGGCAATTCTCTGCTGTTAACTCATGCCCTAAGAAACCCATCACCCAGCGCCCCTGGTACAGCATGGTGCATCTTCCAATTGGTGGGGGCTGATGCCCTTCACATGCAATCCTCACTTTTGTCTGTGGTGCTGAACTTGCTATTAACTTTTTTTTTTTTTCCTTAAGGAAAAATTACCCTACAGGTAGACTATTACCAGCTCTGTAAGAACTAGTAAAACCAAACTTGCTCTGTACTGACAGGTCAGGCGATAACCTGAACAGTAGCAAAGACTTAGCAGGCCTGAATATTGCTGATTTCTTCTGATTTACATAGACTATAATATTATTGCTTTTCTAGGGGAAGTTGTCCCTCTAAAGGAAAACTCAAAGCTTAGAGCTAGTTCAGCATACTTGAAAAGAATGAAATAGCTCCTGCCCGATTTATAAAATAAGCAAAATTAAACGGAGATAGTTCCTAGGAGTATATGCTTTCTAGTTTATTTACTGAAGTTAATTTAGCTTGAGGGAAACAGAATGTAGCTCACAAAGACATAAAAAAAACTTTATGCAGAACCAGAGATTCCGTACCTGACTGTAGAGTCCTCCTCTTCCAATCAGAACCCCCATGTCTTTACAGTCCTCCCAGATCTGATTGATTTCTTCACCTGGAAGAGGGTGGCGACTGTCCTAAGGAAAGTAAACATTAAACTTCACTTAGATATTCTAAATTACTTCTATGAACAAGATGTATAGTCCAGTCCTTCCAGTAACTCCCACCGCCATCTCTGGCAGAAAACATTAGCTGCATAATTTATCTCCTTTCTAAGATGAGTTTATGCAATTAATGTACACAATTCACTGTTTACTCAAAGCTTGTGAAATATCTGAAATGCTGGAATGTTCTGGATTTTTTTAGCCAGAGCAATGTTTTCTCACCATTAGCTGTTTTTTAATAGAAAATCTTCCTATTATTTCAACTGAAATGTGATAAAACTTTCAATGGCACTGTAAATTGAAAGGAATAAGTAAATCACTAACCTTATCTGTCACCATTTCTACTCCAATCATAAGTCCCTTGCCACGGACATCTCCAACAACCTCAAATTTATCCCGTAGTTTAGCCAACTCCAGTAGCATATATGTTCCCACTTCCTCACTGTTTTTTTGTAGACCATCTTCTTCAATAGCCTGGTTAAAAGGATGTACTGTGACAGCATGGCAGTAAAAGCTTCCAATACAGTCACTTAATCCCCATTTAGCTTGATGATACATTATGTTTATCTCACTTCCTTGCAGATCATGTTCCTTCACTACTACGGTACTTAGGGGTTTTTTTTGTTTTTTTTTTTTGTTCTCTTAAAGTCCTCTAATGACATCAGAAAATATATTTTGATACTGCTGTGGCATTTTTCACATTTTACTTATTCCATAAACAGAATCCAGTAATTCATGTTTATATGTAGTCATAACTGAAAAATACCCAACCAGCAGGATTATTTTCAAAATCTTACCAGAAATATTTTAATTCTTCCTAAGTATCGTGCGAAGAATACAATTTGACAAGGCACACCTATATGTACTAGCCAGCCTTTTAGGGAACAACTTGAGTTTTTAAATTAGATTTATCAACACTAAGCTTTTTAATCACCATCTTTTTTTTTTTCCTCACTCTACCCTCCTTAATCAAAGTTCTGACATGCAGCCAACTATGAGCACTGGCACAGACAAGCCATTTTATGAACTTAATATTTGCATTAAGAAAATTCACATTAGAAAAATTACAGAAGTTAAAGTGGGTGTTTCTCCTTTTAATTTTTTTTTTCCTTTTCTTTCATCTCCATTTTACTATTTTTGACTCTGACAACCTCCTTGGACTTATTTCAGATCCAGGCTCCAAATTAATTCAGAGCAAAAGCACCCAAAATATGGGTTCAGACTTTCTTATTTGTAAACTGTTTTTTGTTAAAAAAAAAAAATTATTTATATGAGCAAACATTTTATAAAATAGCTTAAAAAAATACCAAATGGTTAGGTCAGGAAATTAACACGGACAAAAAGTATCTGCTGTAATGAAGTGACACTCATGGACAAATGGTCTGTGCACGATCAGGACAAATTACAGAGTGACCTACTGCCCACTGACTGATTTTCTGCTGGATAATAAGTGAAATATGTTGCAAATTATCCTATATTCATAAGGGATTTTTTTCAGAAGGAATTCCGACCTTAAATATTTATCTGGTTGTTAAGGCTTTTTAGGCGCAGTGTAAAAACTGTGGAGTTAAAATATTTGTTAAGCATGTGTGCCAGAGAATAAATTTGGTTTAGATGGTGATTTGCAGTCCTATGAAAGAGTTAGCTAAGGCTTTTGAGAAAATGCTTTCCTATATTTTTAACAAAATAAAGAATATAAGGGAGACAAAGAAAGATGATTCTGAAAACATAATCAGAAGACTCCTATTCTTATTTGAGGGATGAAAATTTTGGAATGGAACCAAGTAGGAATTTTTCCTACACACAGGGCACATTGGCCATGTATGCATATGTTTACGATTTTATACAGTTATTAAAAAAAATGTCCGCATATATAGTAAGAATAAAACTAAGCATTTTTCATATTTTGCTAGAAGACAAAGTGTGGAATATATAAATTTATATAATGCTCTCCCTACATCAAGAACTGCAGCTCCAACTACGCAGGCCAAAGGGCTTCCTCCAAATGTATTAAAGTGAAGGTTTTGAGCCAAGGAACTTGCGATATCTAAAAGAAAAAGAACAATACATTATTCTTACAGTTGCATTATATTTGGTGACAGTACCCACCAGCTTTAACTTAACTGTTAGGTTAAATTTGCTATGCTTCAACCCTGATTCTACTGGAGACAATGCAGAAGGAAGATTTTTTTTCCTGCAAGTGGTCTGTGCAAAATATGAATGTTTCAAAAAACTATAGTGTCTAGAAGATGCTAAAACCAGACCTTTTTTTAAAAAAAAAATAATCATACTTCTAACATATGCTGTCACTGGTTCCCTTAACCTGACATCTACAAATTTTCTTCACTAGATTCAGGTCAGTCATTGGTATGAATCAAGTAGTTGGCTAACATGCTGCCTTATATATTTGCAGTACATTGAGGAATAAAATAGAAAATTCAGCGAGGACTTCCAGGATCTATTATCAGATCTGCCAATGACTCACAAAGTCATTCC